TGTTGTTGTTGTTGCTGTTGCTGTTGTTGTTGTTGTTGCTGCTGCTGTTGTTGTTGTTGCTGCTGCTGTTGTTGTTGTTGTTGCTGTTGCTGCTGCTGCTGTTGTTGTTGTTGTTGCTGCTGTTGGTGTTGTTGTTGTTGTTGTTGTTGTTGTTGTTGTTTTTAGCCTTCTCCTACTTAATTAAGTAGGCTCCTACTTAAAGTAAGGGCGATTTGTTAGCTTCTAGCAACTGGACGCAGGATAGCTCACGCTAATCATTTGGTTACTAGAATTTTAAGTAAACTTCATAAATAATCATAATTTAAACACAAAGAGGCACAGCTGACATTTGGTTCCTAGATTGAATAGTCATAGTCTATATAAGACTTTGCTTGCACTTGACTTGGCTTGAAGCGTGGCCACATCTGTAGAAGTAGTAGCAGTATCATTCGAGACTGGTCAACGTGGAGGTGTTGGAAGTGGTCATTTGCCTTGACATGTCTTGGTTTCAAATTCATGGCCGGGTTTGAGCCTATCAAGCTATGAAACGCCAAAGAAACATACTCGCGACCCCATGCCACACACCAGCCTGCAGCTAAAGTAGGATCTGGTTTCCGCCCCAGCCTGGGCTTCATCACTACCGTCAAATCAAAGCAAAGGCTTCTCTACACTCCACAGAGTGCCCTTTCCTGGAGTTGGTGGCAGCTTGGTTAGTTTCAGCTCAGCTGTCAGCCCCCCTTCACTACGGCTCCTGCCACACATTGGGAATCCCACACAGCCGGGGAGTAGAAAGCTTCCCACAAGGCTTGCGTAGCATCCTCCACAAGCGATCTGAGGGACAGTCCTGACAAGATCCACGGGAGGATGTCTTCACTGGAGAATCAGGGACAGACTTTGCCGGTGGCTCTATCACGCTCTATCCGACTCTATCCAAGTACATCTCGTGATACGAGCGCCACATCAGCCCATGCAGAAGAAAACAGATTGACAATCTGCAAACCCAGGTCAGGATGTTCTATACCAGTGCACGGCAATCCTGCACAGCTGCCCACTTCGACTGGTGTGGAAGTTTCCCGCCTCAGTCTGAGGGATTTGATACATACACGCCGTGGAAAATGCCAACGGCTTCACTGAGAGTCACTTCAAACTCCAGCATGTCCAGGATCTGATTCGTTTCAGGCCAAGCAGCCACTTTTTCAAGGCCAAGGCCACATCCTCAGAGCTAAGCGCTGCATAGGCAGCTCTGGCTCGCAATGCGACCTGAGACAAAGAAACACACCGCCGACCAAGTGGGTCCATAAGGTCACTCCGACTGAACATGCCTATTAGTTATCCCATTTACATTCGGAGTTGTTCAAGAAAGGATGTTTCGATCGTCAGTCAACCAAGGGACACATAGGACACTTAGGACACTGAACCCTCAGTGTCCAGCCCACTCTGGCAACTCCTCCTTGGGCTCGAAGGGGACACCGAACTTCTGCAGCTGCTGCAAAGAGCGGCACAAGAGTCGTGCCTCCTTGGTGCATTGGCACCCCTGTGGGACAGAAAAGCCTCCAACCTAGCGATGGCCTCCAACCCAATAGCGATGAGCCAAAACTAAACCAATACCGGACATTCACAGCTGCCCTCGGCCCGGATCGTGCAGTCCGAGCGTCCACGTCGCCGCTTAGAAGCACGCATTCAGTTCGCAAGTCCATGTCCCCCGAGTCCTGCGCGGCCAGAGTTTTGTTGCGACGAGCACCAGGACGGAGCAAACAGTCCGAAAGGTGCAAATAGGTAGTGAACCTTCTCCTTGCAAAGCTTTTGCCCTTAGCTTCTAGACCAAATGGTCATCATGATTTGTTGACCCAATGTAGCCCCCAAGTTTTTTTAAGAATACGGATTTATAGGGACAAACTAAATCCAGGCCAAATTAGTCACGAAGAAAAGAACGAAAAGGAATATATATATATATATGTGAGATTGGCATGTTTGCAGCCATTCTCCACCTGGTGCCGCAGGCCTCGCATTCGAAGAACTGCAGCAGCACTGCAAAATCAGCCCAACTGTCGCTAAGGCCCTCAGGCTTTGGAAGGTGCCCCTTGGACGCCAATGACACTGACCTGCAAAAGATCAAACTGAAACAATCTAAAACTACAACACTGAAAAGGCCCAGTTCGGCTCCTGCCGTTGCAAATGATTTGGATTGATTTGCCGCATCACTTTCTCCCGTTGCCCCATCGGCTGATTGCCTGAGGTATCCCAGTTGCACAAGCAGGGGCCGAATACCAGCACCATAAACACGGAGCTCCAGCTGGTCCATGGTCAGGCCTTATTCAAGTTGTCCAGGGTCAATTGAAAAACATGTATATATATATATATTCTGTAATACTTCGATGGTAAATGATGCGGCTCACCCCCGTCCTCCCCAGGATCTACTTTTCTCTTTCTCAGCTCGCTTCTATCATCTGCTTTGCCCTTTCATGTTGACAACCTGCTACGTCATATCTTCCCTCCCACCTGATTAGTTTTGTCTATTATCAAGGTCTTTCCACACAAAGTGCCGTATATTACCTTGATCCCTCGTCAACTGAAGTTGTCCCTTTCCCAAGCTGAACCGAACACAAGCTAAATTGGGAAAAATGCTTGCAATATTCAATATTGGTGAGGAGATTGGGTACGTCTCGCACGTTGTATGTCATATCATCCTGTGTAATTACGCTACTTACAGGAGCTTGGATTGGCAACCCATGGCGGCCAGTGAACGTGAGTGAACTTGCATGCCAAATTCTAGATGGGTTTGTGAAACACTTGTCCCTAGATATGTTAGTCTTATGGTCTGATCTTGTTGCTCGAAAACTGAGCGAAGGTCAACATTTCTCAGCTAGAGGTAATGTACCAAAATTTCCTTGAAGTCCTTTCCAAAGCTGTCGGGAGGGCAGCCCCAAGCCGAGTACACACCGCGGTCACTGAAGGAGACCAAAAAAAACAATGATCAAAAGGGAAGGAAAGGCCCGCCCTCTTCTTGATCGCATGTGGCGGCTTGCTTGGTTCTGGCACTGGCCCAAGTTTAGGTCAGCAAGGGTCGACCTGCTGAGTTTTTGACCTACCAGGTGCCGCGCGGCGCCGACAGTCATCATGGCCATGAACTGTCATCTCATTTCATCTGCCCTCCAAGACCTGCAGAGTGGTCCCGATTGCCAAAGGCAACAGTCTCTCAGCCAACCTCCAGGTTCATCAAATCATGCAGATCCTGCTGTAGCCTCTGAAACCTGGGCTTGGAGAATGGCCACCAAGGCCGTTTGAAGAACAGCTCAAGTTGTCGGCCACAAATTAAAAAAAAACTCTTGCTTGCTACTTGCCGTTTATTTATTCTTCCAGTATCTGGCCCGAGGGGTGTAAAACAAATTAAACCAAACAGGACTGATAGACTCGAAGCAACTGTTGCATTCTGGGTTTGACGTCTGCTGCAATTTTAGCGTAGCCTCGCAGTGCTGACAGCCAGCGATTGACGGCCTTGGTAATTTTTGGGACACGCCACGAGTCCATCTTGTCCAGGGTCATCGACGGATCAATGCAGTGCTCATCCAATCGTTGAAGTCTCTCTTCACTCAAGGAATCAGGATCAAAGTTTCTTAGATCAAAGATGAAATTGGGACTCAGGGCCTTCGAGACCCAAGCCATGCTATCGTGACTCTTCAAGTCGTAGAGCACAAAGACCACACAGGACATCACTTTCACTAACTCCTCCGGCTTCTTGGCAAGGCGCAGGATCTCGGCCTGGTCTTCAGGATCAAACTCCTGTGCAGCTTTGTCCATGTCGTCGCGAAATGGCATACCTCTGGATATCTCGCTTTCAAGTTCGGTGCCCAACATCCTTATCTCGTTCGTCTTTGCCTCAATCTGCTCTTTCAGCGAGCCCATGCCAGCAAGGGACTGAGGCTGAAAGCAGGGACCCGAAGCAGCTTGAGCCAAACATCTGATCTACACACACAGAAAAGAAAGGGTTGCACATCTACACAGAAAAGGGGGTACAACAAGATGGGACCCAGGAACCCAAATGCACACACACGTACACAATTATCAACAGCCAAACGTTGTTTGACATTCCTGCTCGACACTGTTCAGAAACACTCTTAAAGGACACGTTTGTGCATGCTTCAATTTTGCTTGACAGTCTTGCGCGACACTCGCCCCAAAATACCGCTCTTGTAGGACCTTGTAGGACACTCTTGTGGGACACTCTTGTAGGACACTTTTGTGGGACACCATCATGGGACACTCTTGTCGGACATGTTTGTCGGACATTGTTGTGGGACACTCTTGTAGGACGCTCTTGTTAGGGGGGCATTCTTCCGGGACACTCTGCTGCCGGACCCTCTTGCAGGACACTCTTGTGGAACATTTTTGTGGGACACTCTTGTTGGAAAATTGTTGTGGGCAACTCCTGTACACCGCTCTTGTGGCACATTCTTGTAAGACGCTCCGGCGGGATCCGGTGGGACATTCTTGTCGGACACTTCTAGGACACTCCTGGCACCAAGCCTTCAAAACGAGCATTTCGCTCGAGACTTCTGAAGGGGGAAGTCTTGTCAGAGCGAGCTCATCACGCAGCCCTGCCCAGCAGGTTTACAACCCAAGACGCACAAAGTGCTGCACCTGCCACGGGCACTGGCTACCTCACGCCTCCACATGTCCAGCAAAATTTGCTCCACACCACGTATCTCCCTCAAAATTAACACTTTGCCTGAGAAGTGTCAAGGAATCAGGGCTTCGAGGCAAGCGCTTCAACAGCAAATCCCAATGGACAGCGACATTCAATGTCTCCAGCGCAGCAAAAATCATGTTTGACAATTGAGCATGTTGTGTTTGCGGGGTTTACTATTTCACGCAAATCTGACGCGGCATGCTTCCATCCAAGACCTCCTCCAAAAGCTTCCCCCGACGCTTGTGGATGGTGGCGGGCGGTTGCGAGCATGAAAGCAAGGTCGCTCTACAACCAGACCCCGAAGGAGTTAAGTGAGATGAGAACCCTTCGCTACGCGTTCAGGAGAAAACAAATGAAGAAGAATGAGGGTCTACTGTAGAGTCTAGAGGTCCTTCAAGAAGGAGAAACCAAAGAGTATGCCACTTTCTCGAACAAGGTGACACCGCCTTTTGTGGGTCTCAGCTCCAAGGCGAGAGGCGAAGCTGCCCATCAAGGAAGCAAGCATGAGATGGGAGCCAAATCATACCTGAGACCGACTGAAGACTATACAATCAAAAAACATCTGCTTGGTTGCGTTGGCAAGGAGTTGCCAGGTGGTTATGGGTCTTATGGGCTTGTCTTGGCTTCAGTCTGCATCCAACAAGCTCAGGTTCAGCGAACAAGCAATTGTCTATCGACGATATTCTCCAATGTCCATGTCGAGAAGAACATTTGGCTAACAAACAGCACCCATGGTCAGCTCAAACTGATCAGCCAGCTTCAAAGTCAAGTGACGGGAGTAATTTAACGGCACAAGTATCAACATAGTGAAGAGGTACTGTAAAGGCCACTCTGGATTTCCAGAATTTCCAGTCGGTCTGTTGGACTGGAAAGGTTGTTCTGAGTATGGATGCCATTCGCAGATACAGAACACAATCGTGTGGCCTTGTTTTTTTGCACCACACGCTACGCTAAGCTCGGACCGGTGGCACTGCAGTCCATTCTGCGCTGTACGCAGGAAACGTCGGACCTCCAGGGAGGCATTGTCTTCAGTGAGGCCCTGCGGGCTACTCTCAGGCCCATGGCACATGGCGAGGCAAGGAGAGAAACAATTACAGAATGATTCCTGCGAGTGAATGCTTTTGTGACTGCCCTCGGGTCCCTGTATCTATATCTATATATATTATACACTTTATACACTATACCCGACGCCGCTACTGAAAGGCCAAGAACGCCTTTGTTAGGGCCGTTCTGGGCTGTTCTCGTTACTGTATATAACTGGAGATGTGAGGCGTCTGGCGCTCTCGCTAGTCACCCTCCACCGAGCGGGTCTTGCACCTCACCAAACATACAAGTAGTCTATATAAGTAGTCTAAGTAGCCCAGTCTTCAACAAGCCAACCATATTGAGTACTGCATGAGCGTCTCCGCCAGTCGTGGAAGCGTTTATCAATCGTGCTTGCCACTGTCAAGTGAGTGTAACCCCAACTCCAATAAGTTTCCGGATTGACGGCTTCAATCCTGAAAGCGGCGGAGGCAAGCATTGCTTACAGTACATTCCATTCCCTTAGTGCAGGGTCAGGGCATGTCATAGCTATATAACATATCAGTCATGAGTCATACAGTAATAGTGAAACACTGTCTGCTCTGCTTCAACGCACTTTTGAAGCAATACATTCAATACATTCAATCTCAACCTCCATCTGCAGCCCGGTCCATGCGAACCAAGCATGGCAAAAAGCATGACTGGCAAGGATGATTTCGTCTGTCTGTCTCGCATCACTTCCAGGAGTGTAGCTGGAAACGCAGAACCGGCTGTGCGAGTTCACTTTGTTCCCTTGCATGTTGCAACCAAGCACAACTTGCCCTGAGGGTGATGTGTCATTGCTCAGGCTACAATATGTTCTAGTCCCAACACCATTGCATGTTCTACATACACCAGATTTGCTGGGTAAAGGCTACTGTTGTCGTGAGTGCTCAAATATAAAAGGTGATACATTGTCGCGTTGCAAAGGTGGCAAGGCAGGTAATGCTGGAGTAACTCCCCCGGCACTTTTTGTGCATCGATAGACTGCTCCGCCGAGCGACCTCTTTCTGTGCTCGGCTTTCAGTTTGCACGATCAATTTGTGATACTGTATCCCCGGGGCTGATCGGATTGCACAGCTGCCACTGCCAGGACAGGAGGAGTGACAAGGGGATAACAGCCCAGGCAAGCTGCTTTCAAGATGAGGATGGCTATGGCCACGAGGGCAAAAGCAGCATGACACCGAAATGCAAAAAAGTACGTTGCTATCCTTCTGTGGGCCCACTTTCAGCTGACTCAACTTGGCAAGACAAGGTTTGCACCCACTTATGAATGCCACAACTCTGATACTTGAAGCAAAGGGAAAACAATGCAAAACAATGCAAAAACATTCAAAAACTGTCTTGCGTGCAGTAGTACTACTTGACTCAGAACTTCCCCATTCAAAATCCTCTTTAACAAGCCCCGGCACCCCGACCTCCCAACCTGCCCCGCGTGCCTCGCATCCCAAAAGTTAGGATGTTGTGGGCCTTGAAATGGTCAATTCTGCACATGTATATGCCTGTATGATATATATCTCCTGAACAAGTGGGTTGAGCACAGTAGCACTCACTACTTGAAGGATTAAAGGCTGCTTGTATTCGTCAGCTAGCGATAGCTTTGGTTGCGCATCAACCATCATATACCCTAACAATTGCTTGACACTTTCATACGTGGAAATTGTCAAGAAGCTGATATGGCTGCAGGAAGCACTCCAGCACTAGATTTCTCCATCGACGCCAAATGTAGGGCACTCAATCGATATGAATAAGCAGGAAAAAGGTGGGTCAGTTCAACTTGCTAGTATCACACAAGCTGATTTGTCAAACCTGAATTGGTTGCCTGACAGTTTCATTTCCACAGTTGGGAAACCTCTGACCCGCCAGCCTGCAAAAGCCTGACTTGAGGCGCCATGCCTATTGCAAACACAACTGTGGTCTAGAATTCCACGTCTCGGGCAATCTTCAGCCATCCTCAACTCTTTGGCAGAAGTCGGCTCACCTCGCTCCGGCAATCCTTAGGGTAGGTGCAGTGGATGGCCGAGTAGCAACCTGAGCTGCCAGTTGCTCTGTCTGTCAGTGGCCACTCAATTCAGCACACGTGGGCCATTGCAGAATTGTGTGGGTGCAGCCTGCTGCCAAGTTTCACAAGCAAAAAGCCCATGGGAGCATGGTGCAGACCAACATCGCAGTACCCAGGGACTCGGCATTCCCTTGCTGGAGGTCCTTTGTGTCACTGCAGGTGAGTGACAGCCGACCAAATCTGGCCGAACATATACACCATAGTGTCCAGGCTGTGAGGTGCCAAAGCGGGTCTCTTTAGACGCTCTTGGAGTAGGATTGCATGTTCAAGTTCCATATTCAGCATGTTCTCCCACTTGAGGCAGTGTACATTGTCAGGGTTCTAGGTGTGGAGGCAGTGCGTTGTCATTCAAAGTTGTCTATTAAGTTAGTTATATATACAGGCTCACTCCCCCTTCCGTTGTCTCCCTTTTCTTCGCAAGACCAGGTTTGTCAAAATATATAAATATGACACGAAAATTCCGATCAAGACCACTCTCGGGTCCTTCCGTCCTCCCTAAAAATGCTTCCGCCAAACCGGAAGAACATTTTTAGCTCGAAGGACGGTCTTCCACCACGTTTATGTCCCTCCGCCAAACCGAAGAGACATAAACCTCATGGCGGCTTTAAAAACGCTGGTTCGCTCTCTGCGCGAAACTTTATTTCCTCTTGTTTCTCTTATCCTTGGCCTTCTTTTTGGCCTTCTTTCCACTGCCTCCTGTCCTGCCCTTTTGAAGGGCAGGCTCAAGCGACGGAATGACACTCTTCTTCGAATTCAAAAATTGGAGGAGGTAGCGTTTGTTCAGGCTAGTACGGGGTAATCGCATCTCTGCGAGTGCTGCTAGTCCACTATTCACATAGGTCCGGGCCGTTTTTACGGCTTTCCAACGACCATAAACGCAAAGTCGGTCTAGGGATCCCCATCTCTGGAACCACCATGTGGCCCCGCCTCCCCTCAACGAATACGGCCTAAAACCTAAATCTCCAAGACCTAGTGCTTCTGTAGTGGAGTTAAACAATTTTCGCCATTGGCTAGGCGACGGGCAGAGTTCTTTCCGAGCCGACGAGTCACGAGTCCATGCATAAAGCCAACGCAGTGGTTCCTCAACTGTCAAAGACACGGACTCAGACGCTCCTTGCCTCTTTCCTCCTTTTGTTAACCCCAGACTGATGACGGCAGGTCCTTGAGCAGTGTGCATGCTGACATCGGACGACTTCATGCTTTAAATCTCTCCCGCGCGTAGGGTTCCGTAGAATCCCACGAGGAGGGACACTGCAAACAAATACTCCCGCTGAGTAATTGCAAATCCTACCATCATGTGAACGGCCTCTTCTGGCAAGGGCGGAGCCCTGTTTGGTATCTCGTTCATGCTCCAAGCCTTCAACAGTCTCCATGTGCCTCGTAGGTGTCCCTTGACCTGTGGCTGGGCATCCTGTAGAGCAGCAACCGTGTCACTGGCTTGTGCACGCCCGTGGCCTTCACTCCATAGATGCTCAATGTATTGTTGTAGAAGAACGCCCAAACCGGAATGAGACATGGGAATCTGGCGTCCTTCTTCGCGCAGAAAACTCCAGAAACCTTCAAGTGCACGGTTGTATCTGTCACGAGTACGGGGTTGCACAGTGAGAGACTGTAGACTTCCCAAAGCCGCTCTTTGCCGCTTACGCTCTTCCTTGGTGCCTCCTTCAATCATTACTTTGCCTACTTTACCCATCGTTTCTTTGCTGGCCTCCGGCTGGGAGCATCAGCCGGGTTCAGGGATGTATGCGCATATGCCCAATGGGGTCCAGGCGTGCTGTGAACCCAGGGAGACAGCGTGGAGACTCTTCTATATAAGACTTCTAAGACTAAGATTCTAGGACAGGTGGTCAACGTATCAAAGAACAGCGAAGTCTTCAACAGTCAGGTCAAAGAGTCACCAGTCGTGCAAGTGAACGCCACGCTTCTCAGGCTTCCGGGGCTTTGCGAATCCTGGTGGAAGTGGCACCCTGCTCGTTTTGGGTCGAGGGTTGAGTCGAGGGAGTTGCGTGGTTTCTCCTGGGCATTCGTGGCCAATTTTCCATGGGCCGCGGTCCCCAAAGCACACACAGCACCCATGAGGCAATTCTCATCAAGACTTTGTTTATTTGCTTTGACCTGGGGGGTCTGTTCTTGGGGCCGCGGCGAATGGAAAATGAGAAGCGTTCATTGAGATTGATACAGTCTTGGAAAAATCAGTCATTACATTATTTGGAAACAGCGTTTTTTGGAAACGAACTTGAACCTCCATGCACAGCAGTTGAAGGATCTACAGGTCATTCCGTGCTCCTGATTTCCGGAGGCGAGAAGAAGAGCGTTAATCCTCATAAGAGTTCTGCGTAATTTGCGGCTACTGGATCGTCCTCTTGCAAGGCTGTGTAAGCATACGAGTGAATCAACAAGGTGCACGAATCTGCTCTGAAGCCACCCTTTCTAGACCAGCGGAGTGTGGTATACACTGCCCTGAGCTCCAGACTGTTGATGTGCTCCTGCTGTCCACTCCACCGCCATCCACAGATGGTCCGCCATCGCGATGATATCGAACGGGATCTTCCGTCTGTGCCTGCAGGAGAAGGTCTTCTCCCTTTAGGCTTGCCAAACCGGCCAACTTCTGTACCAGGGCAACGTCATCTCCTTGTGTTGTCGCTCGACGAGGGGCCCGCATGAAAGGGCGGAGTAGAAAGCTTTGCAAACCTTGGCCACCTCCTGGAGAGCACTGTTGCATCACCTGTTGCAGACTGAGGTGTGGTGTCAACCCAAGCATCCCACATAGCTGCCCCAACAACCACGCTATGACAAAGACGTTCCAACTATTCCCAACAAGTGTGAGCCGTTCATCTTGCCATGCCTGGGTCTTCTGCAAAGCCTTTGGGTAGCATGCCACGGAGTATACCTTTGGGAAGCCCATTATCACCTCCCGTTCCTCACAGGACAGAAGGCGAGTGTTGTGGTGCTTGTCCTTGACGCGGAACTTGGTCTGGTACTGGTATGGCGGGAATCGATGATGATCCTCTTGCCAATCCTTCAGCTCCTTCTCTGTGCATTGACCAATCCCTGCGGGCTTCCGTCCAGGGCGTGCACGGGGTCGTGATGTGGTAAAAGTCGGGAAAGGCTCCTCAGAGCACTTGCTCCAACCTGCCTCCAGAAAGGAGTTGATGTCATAAGAGTATTGCATCTGAACCTCCGTGATTGCCTCCCATCCATCCCCCCGGGGTGAGGAGACGTTGACGCCCAGTGTACTTGTGCCCAGGGGATCTTCTGTCTCACGATGACGTGGATCCTTTCAACATGTGTGAAAAGGCAACTGCGATGGTCTCTCAACGCTCCGCGTCTGTCCGCGTTTAGGCCAGACACCCCTTGGCAAGGGGGGCCTGTTCCGATGATGACGACTCCAACCTGTGAGTATTTGCATGCCCATTCTCCCACCATGTCCGAGTCGACCTTCTCCCCATCATCGACGACCAATGTAGAGGCGAACCTGCTTTCCACTACGCGACGAGCGGGACTATGCTTCTCAATGCTGATGTGCCCTGCCACTCGCACCCCAATCGAGTCAGCTGCCACTCTCAAAGCCCCCATGCCGTCGAAAAGTCCAATCGTCAATACACTGGTCACCTCACTTGGCTCTACCACGTCCCCTCGGACTGTTTGATTGGAGGCCATACAGCCCAAGCAGGAGAGACCTTTGCTTGCTGTGATTCCCCCTCCCGTGCTGGACGCATCGCTGGCCGTCACCGCACCTGAGAATTCTGTGCGGAAGTCCATGCGCGCCAAGGGTACCAGAAGGCAGAACCGTGCAATTTCACTGCGTACCTTCCATGGTATGACCTGTAGCTTCGGCCCTTGGTCAAAGCTAGTCACAAACTCCCATATGGCATTGAGAGTGCCAAGGAGTGGCCGCCTGAACATAGCCATATAGACGAGCCCACCTGCAACCACCTGTGCCTGCTTCTGTGTACAGCATTCTCCCTTCAAGAGGAGTACACTTAACTGCACATACTTCGTGATCTTTTCCGCTCGGGGCCTCGCACTCCCCTCTTGGCCATCAACTAGGGCGCCTTGTACGTCTGCCTGGGTTCGCCTCTCAACGGCCTTCTTGGGGTGTCGTGGTATGAATAAATCTTCATACACCTGCCTCAATGACTGGGCCAAGGGAGTCACAGTTCCTCGCAACACCTCTGCCATGCTGCTGTTGACTCGTTCCAGCTGATCAAAATCATCGAGATAGACTCTACGCACCGGGTTGCTGATTGGGAGGGGTCGGTCCTTGCGGAGTTCGGACTCCCAGCCTCCCCTCAATCCTCGCCTTCTTGCCTCCTCCAGGGCCTTCCCTACCACCACCCGGTGTATGTGTTGCGCTAATGACACACTGTTGCAAAAACGCATAGGCAATACCAATGATGTTAGGTAGCATGGTTCAGAATGTCCTTCACAGAGATTTTCCGGAACCCTACGGGAAAATGCGAAGTACGGTGTCCAGCTTTTCGGCGCCCGGAACAGGTAAAAGAAACACCGCACATCTTCACTGCTGATGAGTAGCGTCTCGTCCTGCTGGATCTGGAAGGCGCTCATACTAGGCCACCTTGGCAGAGTCGATACGTCGCCTGTGATCAGTCGGCGCAGCTTGTTCAGTGGCACTAGATTCATGATGAGTCTATGTACATCATGTCCCTGGTGTTTCTCCTCTTTCATTACCCCAAAGAGCCCGTTGAGCAATGGTTTGTTGTCGACCTTGTAAACTGCGCATTTGGGATTATACCACAAATTCCTCGGGACAGGAGGCCGGCGCAAAAGGTCTCCCATTGGTCCATTGGCACCATGACCTTGGGTGGCTTGGTATACACCTGGGCCTGGGCCTCCTTGGGAAGTAGAAACTCTTCAAAGTGCTGAACGTAGTGGAGGCAACCAGATTCGACTACCTGTTCAAGGTCAACCGTTCCTACCTCATCAGGAAGAGCTGGTGCAATGTTGTCCCATGATGTTTGTTGCGCGGTCTTCACCTCCTCCCCCTTGTAGTCAATACTTCTAACCTTGAGGAATTCCTTCCAGCTGAGGTTCTCCAAAGGTGGCAACTTGTCCAAAAACCTACCAACCTCCTCACTCAAAAGACGTAGTATGCGAACATGCAACGGTGAAACTGTTTGATCACGATGTGGCTTACGGTCATAAACGTCGTTCAAACTCCTAACAAATCCTCGCAGAACTGTCCTAACATCCCGCGTCAAATGTGCAAACGACGGCTGGTTCAGGGCGATGTCGATGGGGAGAGGAAAAACCTCCCCCGGGGTCGTGGTCTTGCGAAGAAAACGCGACAACTCCCCCTCCAGCCCCTCGACGACGTCGACGAACCGCAAGCCCGCTAACTCTGCTTTCTCAGGCTCGATGAGCTCTGGGTCATGTGGGTTGCTGTCAGGGCCGGCGCGCCCATCCTGCACTGTACCAACCAAAATGGTTGCATCTGGATGATCATAGTTTTCCTCATCCAGGTAACGATCCGGCATCTTGCGAAGTGCACCCTCCTTCCCATCGTTGACCTCATGGTCTATGCGTTGAAGCTCAGCCTCGATGAAGGCCTCTGGCATCGTCCCGAGAGGAGATCTCACTTGTCCTTCTCCCGTTCTCGGTCCCTCTTGTCTTTGCCCCCTTTCTCCTTCTTTCCTTTGCCTTTCGTCTCTTCGTTCTTTGTCTTGCCCACATTCTTGCCCTCGCCTTTGTTGCTTGTCCAAATGCGTTGACTGGCCTGCTTGTTCTTCAACTCCTCCCTCAACTCCCGATTGGCGGATTTGCTTTCTTCGAGGTCCACCAGTTGCGACGATTCCGCAGGAGTCAGTTCCAGTTTTTGGGCTGAGGCCCAGGAGGATCCTCCTCCCAATGACTCCACTGACTTGAGTCGTTGGAGCAGGATGTCTACTCCCAGTGCTGCTTGGCCCTCGAGGATGGCGTCCACTGCTGAGCAGATGTTCAGGCTCTCCCGAGCCAACGGCGGTGACAATCGCCCTGCTAGAACTTGGCGGTGGTATTGGAGACATATGGCGGGTAGAGCTCCATCTCGAGGGGCAACTGGCAGGCCTTGGGCAGTCAAGAGATACTTTGACATGTTTTGTATAGTCTGGCAGGATAAGGCACCTGGCCCCTTGACTGCTGCCCTCCTGATCCTGTGAGACTCCTCGAATAGTTCGTCTGCCACACTCACCAGTGTACTGGAACAGCTGCTTGAGGTCTTTCTTTCCTTCTACCTTCCAAGCCTTGCTTTTCTTTTTCTTCTTCCTGTCTTTCTTTTTCTTATTCTTTTTCTCCTTGCTGGAATCCGACGAACTCGAACCGGTCGAAGTCTCTGCTCCCCTCGCGGCTTCCTCCGCGGGAGCCCCAATGCCTTTTCCTTTTGCCTCCCTGGCTCTTTTGTCTGACTCTGCCGCGAGCTTCCGCAACACTTCTGCTTCGGCCGCCTCCTTCAGGTTGTGAGCCCATGGAGGCATCTCGAACTCCAGCAACCGCAACTTCTTCACGTGGATCAAGTCGTCGCTCTGAGGACTGTTGCTGCATCCTTCGTGGCAAAGGTGTCCGCGAAGAACTCGATCTTCCTCTGCCGTGAGCCACTTGAGGAGTTGCTCGTCCGGGGTTCCGCTGACCCTGAACGTGACCTCGGTCTGTCCAGCTTTGAGTGCAAGTCCTCCTGCATTCACCCATGCTCCCGATGCAAGATCCTCCTTGCAGGAGCAGGTTCCACGTCCGCAGCTGGTCTGAGCCTCACTCTTCTTCGATCTCGGCCAACTGCAACGTCTGCCGCTGGCCTTCTCTTCGGGACCATCCACTCACCAATGCTTCTTGTAGGCCAGGTACTCCTTGAACTCGAGCTGCCTGCCTACTTTCTTCACACCTTTGTTTGTCCAATCCGGCTTATACCCCCGCCCTGCAGGGGGGTACCCAGACCAGCCTCTCCCACGGCCTCAATCGGGGCTTTTGGGCTTCCTCTGAATTGACCTACTATAGCTTTCCTGGTAGGCCGTGGACGATCTCTGGGGTGAGCCGACGATGAATGGCCTTCTCGAGCACGTTCAACCTCCTCTCTGTCTTCGTGCTGTTCGATGTCTCTATGCCTCTGCTCACTCTCCTCTTGCCTTCTCCTCCGCCTCCGGGACCGTGATCTTGTCCTCCGGGACCTTTTCCGATCTCTGACACTGGGTGAACGAGGAGAACGAGGTTCTTTCTTCTCCCGTACGTCACCCTCCTCGTCCTCTTCTTCTGATGCCTCCTTCTCGGTGCAGACCTTCTCGGACTCCTCAACCTCCAACTCGTCACTTGCTGCCTTGTTCTCTGGTTTTCCAACGCAAGCAGACTTGGGAGCGGTTGTACGCAAAGCCGCTTCCTCGGTGTTGAAGGCGCTGTCCTCGCTGGGCTCCTGCTTAGACCTAACTGAGCGGTCCCCACCTGACTCTCGATGTCGGTCTCCTCGACGTTCTCGATGGGATCTGTGCTTTTCCTCCTTCTTGGTCCTGGGTGCCTCTTCCTTTCTGCTAGATGCCTTGCTTTCTTCCCTTCTCAACAAGTCGGCCTCTCCTCTCACCGACTCTTTGTCCTCCCTTTCAGGCTCTTCCTGAGGAGGTTTGATCGCCTCAGGAGGTGCCGCTCCTGAAGCGTAAAAGCTGTCCCCCCAGTCGCAGAGCTCCCCTGCCAAAACCCGCAGCCGATCCGCAGCGAACGGAACGTAGCCGGGCTTAGGGGAGAAGTCGGCGATATGGCGGCACACGCGTTTCAAAGTGGAGCACACGCCGCAGCGGCAGGCCGCGACGTGCCCCCACATTCGAAAATGAGCCGGAGCTGCGTGAAGACACCGAATTCGGGGGGTTCACCTTTAATTACGGGGGCGCAACAGCATATATACTCCTTTTGCCAAAATCTGGACAACAAACTATATAGCATCTGTGCGGGGCCCCTCAAGTGCTCCATTTTTTGGCATGCTTTCACAGTGACAAAGATTGTTGTAGCAGGCCTGGCTAGGCTTGTAGCCCAGGATGGCCACGGAAATGTAGCCCACCAATGGCCCTCCAAAGATGGTGCCACAGGTCTCAGCTATCGTCCTCCTTGGCCATAGCTTCAAGCAGAACAATCAACACAAAACACTACCAACGTGATGGTGCTTAGAGCCTCTCCAATTTTGCAACATGTCTCGCAGCCTTGAATCTTGATCCTGCATGCTGGCAGCTTTCAATCTGTACTCTACTGGCACGAGTTCATGAGCGACGTGGCTTGATCAACATTGCTCTGCTGCAAAAGGGCCACCAACCGATGATCTTGCCACGACAGTAAGCTGGCACCAACCTCAAATCGTAGGCCACTGGATGGTACACCAAAACACACCAAACAAAAAAGAGATTTCGGGAACTCTTCCTCTGTTGCTTCAGGCTTCTATCGTTGAGCCAGCTGAGGCCACACGCACCCGCTCGCTACTATAAAGCTTACCCAAGCTACTGCCCAACCCAAACTCGGAATCAGCTCAGTGGCTCTGACCAAAGTGGCCGGTCGACGCCTGGCAGCAGAAGGCCACTTCCAGAAATGATATGGGCAGTTTCAAAGCCAAACACACCAACCTCCAGGATCCTCCAGGCCTGGCCTGGATTGCACCACAGTGCCAGGAGCGAAAACGAAAACAGGGCCGCAGCGAGCACTGGTGTAGGGCCTCTGCCGTCAATGAAATTAAATACATGAATCTATCTCTTAACCACATTAACGGACATATACAGTATATATATATATATATGTAAGGCTATATAACTTGCTACAGTATATTATATATATGATTCATCCTCTCGGATGCCCTGAGAGCCACCTTCCTCGCCTCCCTTCTCAGCCAGGCCCCCGCAAATTCCAGAGCATGCTTGCTTGGGTCGATGCCTTCTGCCAAGGAGCTTCCTGCACGTGGGTAGAACCACAGCACCCAGCACCTTGGAGCAACTGGCTGCGTCTGCTTCACCAGAAATCGAGACACAGGCAACTCCTTCAGGTTTTGGCCGAACAACGCACAAAAATACCTTCCTTACGATAGAAACGTGGTGCACCTGCCTATGCCCTGCACAGGGCCCCTCAGTACCGGGGGCCTGTATATAGACCAGTCACTTCACCACAAGACTAACTCCATTAGGGAAATGTGAACGGATGTGTTCAGCAAGAGCGGAGCCTGCCATGCTTAGCTTTGGTTGAGGGACAGTGGGATCGCTCCGAGCACAATCGACATCTGCCCCACCAGCGCACGCCCATGCAGAGGAGACCAAGAAGCAAAGCGATCACCCAGGAATCCTAAAGCAGTCTCACTCTCAAGCTCTGACCCCAAGAAATTGGGACTTGCAGGACCTGGGTGCGAGTGGGGAAAGAGGAAGTCATTCAAAAGGTCACCTGTATCCCCTGGTGCTTGCCTAATGAACATAAGGCTGCTAGTGGACCAAACATGAACCGTGGAATATTACAAGCACCTTTGCACAGCTGGAAGTCCCACCTCCAAGAAGGCTACCACAAATGCGTCCAACTGACATCACCTTCCAGGGCAAAATGCCTTCTGGTGAAGTGTGACATCATGCTGTAACAACTCGGCTGGATCTTGATAGTTCAAGACGGTTGAAGCCTTGAAGCCTTGCATGAAAATGATGCTAATGTCTGATAGGTACCACAAAGGTTAGGCTCACAGGGGCCCTTTATGACTGCGATTGAACCCGTCCGTCAGCAAGCTGGCAGCATGGGTCGGGGAGAAGCCCAAGCACTGAAGGTACATCATCATGAAGCTCAAGGCATTCCATGGGATGCAGCCTCGGCCCAACTGCTTGGCACTCTTGGACAGGACTCCAACGAGGACTCAAGAATGCCAATCTACACTAACTCTTGAACCAAGGTGCCCACCACACCTCCCAACCTTGCAGTCAAAGGTGCTTCAAGCTTCTAGCTGGAGAGTTGAGGAAGAACTCCTATTGACTCCTATCACATGAAACACATGTTTTTCAATCTTCTCATTGTTGACCCAGATTACGGACATGTTTTTACGTGTTCATACTTGGGGACGAGGCAATGCAAAATCAAGAACAAAAACACAATCCGTCTGTTTGCCTGGCCAAACGCAATCAGGAAGCAATAGTGCCAAGAATGTTGGGAGAGAAAAAATATGTTTCAACTGGTCCATCTCCGCTGCAATCTCTCCTTGGCAAGCAACGTCTCCCAGGAAATGCAGCAGCGGAGCAAGCACAGAAAGCTGACGATCTCGTGCGTCTAAGCGACTCATGAAGGAATGTCGCCGCTTCTCGCGAGTGTCAGCGGGGAAGAATATGAAAATCCATACTGCAAGCCTGAAATCGGATGTTCACATTTGGACGACATCAAGCCTTATTGACTGTTGATTGCATAATGAAAGCTCCCCCACCAGAATGGTTTTACATCTGGGGGGCTAGTCATCAACTTTCAACATTACATGCCGCCTCATGTGCAAAGAAGAACTTACTGTATGTAATTTATAGAGCAACTAGTACGCAAAGACATGCAAAGACCAGGTTTGCAGTACCTTTTCCAAACCTTAAGTATATAGTTGAGGATATTACAATTCAGCTGCGCGTCGTCAGAGTCATGCTGCCCATCATGCCTGTAGTAAAGCACATTGGTTTTCACACCACCCTAAGCAAAACACAACAAGAGCACAGTGTCACGGCCGCTGCAAGAAGTCCCAGGTGCGATAAGCTGATTGCCAAGTGAAAATGCTGTATAGGAACGCTGAAGCAGATCCAGCAAATCCTGGCCGATGTCTTGGATGGGTTTTCTATTTTCGTTCCAAACCAAGGCAATCGAACAGGCAGCACCCCTTTGAAGCGTATTGCTGGTGCGCCAGAAACCTGTGCAACTGCCCACCCGGGCAATCCCAGGCGCCTGCACACATAGCCAAGACAGAAAAGGCCATGCCTCTGCCCGTCTCCTAACACAGGCCACAAACTCTACATCTCACCTGGGTGAATCGAGAATGAACATCAACCCCTCCTGCACGTTCTCACTCACCAAGCTTTGCGACACTGGCGCGACTGCTGAAGCAAAAAGCCCTGAGAGCATCTGAGTTACCAGCAGGCCTGTCAAATGCAAGCATGATGCAAAATGGTTGGAATTATACTGTATATTTCGCACACTTTCTCTTAGTGACTTGAATCGGAAATGGGACACCCGGCTCTTCACAAAACACAAGCCTCTCAGCGACGCCAGCGAGGGTGTGGCCCTTCGACAAGCACGCCATCCAGCAAGGTAACGGATTTTCCCAAACACAAAACGTTTCTCAATGCACTCCGAGCATCAGGGTGCAAAGGCCTACCATTGTCATCGATAGAACAATCAAGTTCTTCCTGCATGCAGCTGCCAGCCACCAGAGGGCAAAGTTCATCAAAGTTCCCTCTAAGACCCAATGGTGCACAGCAAGTATTTCTCATGAATGGCCGACGGCCATAGCAACACATGCACTTGGGACGTCCTGTCTGATTTGTCGGCCAATGAGCCCCAAAGAACGCCTACCAAACATCCAAGTGCGTAGGTCAAACTGAACGACATCGGGCAACAGCCATGCTTGCACATCCTGCAGAACAGCCAAGCACAAAAACTCTTCATGTAAATCCTCCCTGCCTGAAAGGCTGCTAGCTAGCCCTCTAGCCATGAGGATGACGCCCAACTTGTCTGGAGTCAAGGCCAACTGCCTCTCCAGCCTTGGCTCATGGAATGGATCAAACCGTACACAAAGAGAGTGAATGTGAGGATGGCATGATGTGATGAAGCCAATCCAAGGTGCTGCATGAAGGACACTGTCAGGAGACAAAGGTCAATCCTCAGCAACCACCAAGGGTACGGGCTTCGGGTCCCTTGGTCTCTTAGCTTCTTCTTTCCCTTCACTCATTGGCTATGGCTTCACGATCTGACATCGACTAACATGACTAACCTTCTTGTGAAGACTGCACGTGCTGGATTCTAAAGCCACGTCAAGAGTCTCATCGATAAGGCTGGCCAAGGTCGCTAGTAGAACTGCCCGCTGCATGGCTCATCCTTGGATGGAGGGTCTCATCATGGCAGCTTACGAAGTAGCCAAATCCTTCTCCAACAAAGCTTGTCACTTGCCACTTATGTATATAAGAGAGCTAGCTGCCAGCTAGCTCTCAACCAATGTTGCCAAGTCTCCAACACTCATGTGCAACCCGGAGTTTGCCGGGAAGGACTTGGCTGAAATATGCTCAAAATGACAGCCATGGACCATGGGGAAGACTACCCAACTTGGGTATGCACCATGGGGGTTGTCAAAGTTCACGTCAATTTGTCCAATTGTTTGACACATGATGCCGCACAAGGATACTTGGTCTGCCGAACTCTCTTCCTCCCTCACTCTTTTTCTGTGTCTTTGCGCAGGGCATCGCTCTGAATGTGTGCCTTCCGATGAGACATTCCTCCTGAATCGCGCTGCTTTCGTCTCGACTATGATCGTGAAACCTTGTCCGTAAAGGTCCGAGCTGGCTCGACAGTGAGCATTCAAACCATCCCCCCACAGGCATCACCACCACAGTCAGGAAATGCAAAGTTGGTCGGCACCACAGACACCTCGGTGGAGATTTCTATTCCTCCTGAATTCAGTGCAAGCTCTGCTTGGAAACAAATTGTTTCATCTTCAACTGGATGCCCTTTACTTTCTTTTATTGCCTTTTCGTGTTTGCCACAAGCCGAAAGGACAATCCCCTCAACAAGCTCTAAAATAGACTCCAGCGAGATTTAAAGCACCAGAAGCTCGGACGTATAATTGCAGGAAAGAAAAACACCCTCACAGTCACATAGATAGATCCTTATAATACGTTGCATATACATTTACATACACATATCATCATAATCGTATATCACAAAATCATTTCATCCCTGTCCAAAACAAATGCGGTATGTTACGTTTCAGCTGCACTTCTCCCCTCCTGGCCACTCAAAGGACAGGAAGAATGCTGTCCATCGCCCATCAGCGGAAATGTTGGGTCGCACACGCCAAAATGAATGGTGCGGCAGGTCGTAGCTATTCCACTGCACCCAATTCTCGCAACCTTGTGACGTAGCTTGGCCGCAAGGACACACCTAGCCACAGATAGCCCGTGCTGGCAACTGACATGAAAGTGCCAAAAATGTTGAAGGGATGCAAAATGCCACATGCGGCCCTACCGCCAAAGGCTATCACAAGGAATCAGGAATCAAAGGATCTGCACGTGGCCTGACAAATACCGCACCCACCATGGATCTGCCTCTGCTTTGGCGCTTAACTGCCGCCAGTCCATGCGGTGTGCATCACAGCTGCTTGCTTGCCACAATTTCACGCGCTGAACCGGAGGGTTTCTGGCATCCGTCTGTGCAAAGATCGTCCCATCCTCCTGAAAAGCCGCTCGCTTGGCTTAAACGCGTAAAGAAAGTGAAAAATAATACAGTAATCAAGTCAACCAATGAGTCTGTACTGGGAATCAAGGCAGGAGGCCACAAGGTAGCTCGATTGAGGCAGCTCGATTCAACCCGTGAAATGATGGGTTCAGGGGCCTGCTTCTGTTCTTCAAGTCTGCTATTGCAGACTATCCAATTGCTGATTTGTGCATCGGGAATGCTCATCTTGAAATGAATGTTATCAATCACAACGAACATAAGTGAGCAGACCGCCGGGCCGTAAAAGCTTGATTGTTTCCCACAGGGGCGAAGGGCCGGGATTCTGGACAAACAACCCATACAAACTTGAGGCCAGAGGGGGTGAACGAAAGCTAGCCGGGCTTCCGGTGGTCTGCTGCTGGTGCTGCTGCTGCTGGTGCTGCTGCTGCCGCTGCTGCGCTGGGCGCTGCTGCGCTGTGTGCTCTGCAGGCGCCGGGTCGTCTGCTGCTGCTGCTGCTGCTGGCGCTGGGTGGTCTGCTGCGGCTGCTGCTGCCGCGGCGTTGGGTATGCTGCTGCTGCTGCCGCCGCTGGGTGGTCTGCTGCTGCTGCTGCTGGTGCTGCTTGGTCTGCTGCTGCTGCTGCTGGTGCTGCTGCTGCCGCTGCTGCGCTGGGCGCTGCAGATGCTTGGTGTGCTGCAGCTGCTTGGTGGGGTGGTCCCGCTCACCGCGCGCAGGGGGGAGTCGAACCGCGGGGGCGGGGGGGGGGGGGGCGGGAGGGGGGGGGGGTGCGCACCGAGCGGGGGGGGGGGGCGGGGGCCGGGGGGGAGGGGGGGGGGGGGGGTCCATAAGATTGATTTAATCAATTATTTGAGGTTTCTGAGGTGCGTCCACCCCGTCACTTAACTTGCTAAAGCAAGAGCAACTCCAGCTAGCTAAGGCTAGCTTTCGTGAATATTGCAGTTGATTTATATGGGTCTATTATTTGCCTACTAGTGTAGCAAATAATGCCTACTTGTGTAGCAAATAATGTCACGAGCATTCATTGAATCTTGACCATCACCCATAGAAATGCGAAGCAGCCACGCCTGGATTGTCCAGGAGATGTTCGGTAATTGAAGGTTTTTCACGAAGGCGCTGATCAGCGGGGCCAGTCCAACGACCTGGCCATTTGCCATGCGTCTGTTGCACGAAGGGAGTGTGCCTCTGGTGACTAGTGATAAGTTAACCTTGCATCAGACTTGTATGATGTTTCCTCAGCATCTATCCAAATATCATGTGATATATATATATATGCAGTACATATATAAACAAATGTTATCAAATGTTATATTCGCATATACACAATCTATTTTTATACATATGTATATATGTTTGATTATGTTTGTACATATATCATCTGTCCATCGTCTTAGGAGTCTTCTTTCCGACTCTTTCTCGGGTCAACATGGACTTGTCCGCTCGTATTGCGTGCTCATGATGCCTTTGAGACCGCACCATGGCATGGTGGCTCTTCTGGCTTTTCTGCAGAGAGCCCGGCGTTTCAATTGCACTGAAAAATCTCAGTGCCTCAAAGCCATCTAGAAACGGAGTTCAACAAGTGCAAGATGTCATTGATTAAGACGGTCAACCTGGTAGAAGAATCAAATGTCTTTTCGACCAGATTCTAGGCGTTGCTTAGCCAAGCCGGGAAGCGATCACAGCCACTCTGATGCCTTGTACATGTTCATGAGGCAAATATACATTCGAATATACTCATTCAGGTCTCCGTCAACTTCTGGTTTCGTCTGCAGTTTCTGCATCCCCTGCAGGCTTGTGAGGAGCATCTGCATCAGCCCATGCTGCTAGAGCTTCCATCGCCTCACTTTCGGTCATGTGTTCCATGTCTCCATCGAAATATCTGATAAGGTAAAGGCGCTCTCTGGTGTTCATTCCCATCGCAACATCCACAATTGTGCCGCTGAAGGCTTTCCCATCCATCCTCTTGGTGATACGCCCATACAAAAGTACATCTTTGGCCTTCTCATCATCGGGAAGGGCCTCAATAGCCTCCTCATGCGCTTCCTCCTCCCTTTCCATTATAACATCTGTGGGGTGATCCCTCTCCCGCTCAGGCCGTTCAGGCAGAATTTCAGCTGCATCCTGGGTCACCCACGAGAGCAAGCCAGCTCTAACCTCATGTCCAGTCATGTGCTCTATATCTCCATCCAAATACTCGATCAAGTAGAGGCGCTCCTGAGTCCTGTGCCCCACCACGACATCCGTAACAGTACCACTGCAGAGTTGACCATCAATAGTCTTGGAAATGCGAACGTTTAGCAGTTCATCGCGGGACTTTTCGTCCTCTGCAAGCTCTTCAATTTCCTCTCCATCATCGTCATCGTCATCCATCAGGCCAACGTGAGAACCCTTACACCTTTACTTACCTAGGGGCCTGGCGCAAACCCGAATATTGTGAAACCTAAACATAAATATCAAGCATTGAG